CTGCCAGTATCTCCATCGGCGAAACCGCCAGCGGAAGGTTCGTCTGCTAATACTTCAATCGACGAAGCCGTTGGCGGAAGGAAACATCAGGTTCCCCTCATCGGGCAGGGGAGCGCCCAAAAGCTTTCGCCCGTTGTTCCGCTCGCCAGTATTGATTGGTCGTCCTCCCTTTTGACAGGGGAGAGCCCAAAAGCTTTCGCCCTTTGTTTCGCCCGCCAGTATCGTTTAGTCCCACGGCGGTACCGATATCGAAAGGCGTTCGAAGCATTCGGCGTGCCTTTAACTAACTGGTTTTGAACAGGGCGTTGTTTCACTGGTTTTTCATCGCTTTTGGTTTCTTTTGGGATCGGCAAGGCCTAGAACAACCTTGGCAGGAGTGGTGGGTCCTAGAGTTGGTGGGCCCGCCAAGGGGGAGGTGTCTTTCAAGGGAGGCCGCAACCGGCTCGGACCAAAAGCACCTGTAGAAGAGGGGAATATGGTCGGGTGCCGTAGTAGGTAGGAGGGCATTTTGATTCTTGTAAAAGATACGGTCATATATAAATAGAGCTCTACAGGAGCAGTGTAAGGGAGGATGGAACCGTTGTTTTCCATGATCAATACATTCCTTTCCTTTCGTTCTGCCTTTGTGTTCCTTTCATTTGGAGTCGTCGAGCTTTCGGCATATAGAGCAGCAACTTGATGTTCAAAGGCTGAGGCCTAGAACAACATCGTTCATGGAAAATAATTGGTCTTTCCTGGCACTGGCATTATTATTAACATTCTCATATGTAGAACGTTCTGAATATGATAATAATTTACGATGTCCTCTCAAGGTACCCTGTAGTTTTTCCGATTTGTCATGCATATGCTTGATGGTTCGTGTTAATGGATGCTGTTGCTTCATCAGTAAGCATGCACCTATAAACTGTTTGGTGGTCGATGGGAGGTGATTGCAGCATATATGGGAAATATCACAGAACTATCTAACATATGTGGTTTGGCTACAGTTGTTTGTCTACTCTACTTAACAGATAAAGGGTATTTAGGACTGCAAAAATGAGCATTTACAAATATTTATCTTAGTAAACTTTAGAATGTACTTATTTGCCAAAGGATGCTAGAACAGCTGGTCAAGCACTCCGGTTGGCACCCTCGCGGCCGGTTGGCACCCTCGCGGCCCGAGTTCGATTCCCCCACGGGGAAATTTGCAGCGCTGGAGGTAAAAAAAAACCATCATCACTGGGCCTGCCCTTTTTTATCTGCCGCGTCCCAAAGCATAGGTTCGTAGGCACCGGCCCACTCACAAGGTTACGGGCCCCTGTGTGCAGGTGGGATATGGGGTTCGAGGGTTTTCTCGACTTGCGTGAAAGACCTCTATCTTAAGCCAAAATCCGGGCGGGTCGAATTTTTTTTATCCCAAAGCATAGGAAAGACACCGGCCTGCATTGTGGTTACGCCTTAAAAAATCCCGAGGTTTTCTCGACTGTCTAATCTTAAGCCACCCATGGGTCGAAATTTTTTAGAATGTACTTATTTCAGGACATCTGGTGCCACCTTGTTTAGTAGTGCAAGAACATTGGTGCCTTTCCTGAAAGTAGCAGATAGTACTTGGAGAAAGCACATTTACAATATCAGATCTTGTAGTTCAGTTTTCTCCTCGTTCATGGAAAATAATTCATGTTTCCTGGCACTGGCAGTATTATTAACATTCTCATCTGTAGAACGTTCTGAATATGATAATAATTCATAATGTCCTCTCAAGGTACCCTGTAGTTTTTCGATTTGTCATGCATATGCTTGATGGTTTGTGAAAATGGATGCTGTTGCTTCATCAGTAAGCATGCACCTATAAACTGTTTGGTGGTCGATGGGAGGTGATTGTAGCATATGGGAAATATCACAGAATTATCTAACATATGTGGTTTGGCTACAGTTGTTTCTCCACTGTACTTAACAGATAAAGGGTATTTAGGACTACAAAAAATGAGCATTTACAAATATTTATCTTAGTAAACTTTAGAATGTACTTATTTGCCAAAGGATGCTAGACCAGCTGGTCATGCACTCGGTTGGCACCATCGCGGCCCGAGTCCGATCCCCCCACGGGGGCGAATTTGCAGCGCCGGAGGTTGAAAAAAACCCCATCATCTACCCCGCGTGCCCCAAAGCATAGGTTCGTAGGCACCGGCCCACTCGCAGGGTTACGGTCCATGTGTGCGGGCAGGGTACGGGGTTCAACGGTTTTCTCAATCTACGTGAGATGTCTCTTCCTTAAGCCAAAAATCCTAGTGGCTATCTAGTCTAGCCACCGTGGGTTGAATTTTTTTAGAATGTACTTATTTCAGCACATCTGGTGCCCTTGTTTAATAGTGCAAGAACATTGGTGCCTTTCGTGAAAGTAGCAGATAGTACTTGGAGAAAGCACATTTACAATATCAGATGTGTCTGCAAAAACAATGTGTTCAGTCCCATAAGACCTTTTGGTGAATTCTTTTTCTCTGCAGAAAATTATTAGGCTATAATTTATAGTACATCTGGACAATGCACTTTCCTTTTTATTTTACTCTTTGATAACATGTTCAGTTCATCATCTAATATGTTCCTTGTGTTTTGTTTTTACAAACGAAATGGATCCAGGGAAGACCTTTGACCGACATGATTATAGAGGGTTTCACTCTAGGTGCAGTGTCTAACAATATCCAACGTCATAATGAATTACAAGCACGCGATGAGGTCCCTACTGTGGTGAAAAGAAATCAGAAAAGGTCCAAAAATTTCACTGTTAAGGAGGACGAAATGTTGTTGGTAGCATGGCTAAATGTGACTTTAGATCCCGTGCGAGGAGTCAATCAATCAAAAAATACCTATTGGAAAAGAATACATTATTACTTTCATTCAAAGAAGGATTTTGATTCCGATCGGACACAAAGCTCTCTAATGAGTCGGTGGTCAGGTATACAACATGATTGCAATATATTTTCTAATTGTGTTTCAAAGGCCAGAAATCAAAGTGGTGCATCTGTCGATGACAAAGTTAGATGACCTACCTTGATATGGTGCTATCAATGACGGTTTTCGGCTTAAGCCGATAGTAATAAACCACAGTACAAAAGCTGTCGTCCTCTCCTCCCTCCTCTCTTCCACTGCGAGCACACTCATCCAGGAGGCGCGCGTTTTCCCCACTCCCTCAATTGTTGCGGCCATTCTTCACCAAAATGCTCAATGAAGCTCTTGGATTTTCAAATATGGGCATGATCTTCTTACTTTAAGGTTAGTAATAAGCATCCACTCTTTTGCATTTGTAGCTTTATAATTATTTTGATGGCTAGACTACTTGATTCTCATTCTAGTTGTTTCTCCATTTTAGAGAGCACTTTTCAATTGATTTTGGGGAAGGCATCCAAATCGTGGTGAATCCAACTTCCAAAAGGTTGGTGTCTATAAACCTCATTTTAGTCCCTAATAAATTACATGGTGGTTTTGATGATTGTTAGTACGTGATGCTTTAAGTCCTAGCAAAATACATGGTGGTTTTAATTGCTTGCAAATTATATGGTAGCAAATTAGTATGTGATGCTTTAATCCATTCTTGTATGGAGTAGAGTAGAATTTTTCCAATAGGGCTGTCAATTTCTATTTTGATGAGCAAATCCGTGTAACATATACCAACCCATTGTTAGGAGCGTGCTCGCGCCCTGCTGGCTGGTGAGATGCGCACGTCCATTGTGGTCGAGCTGGAGCTCCTGACACGCAAAAGCTCTTTGAGACCGTCAAGCATATCCAAGCCGCTTTATTTGGATTGGAAGTATTATACTCCGTATTTTGTAAATTGCATTGTGTTCTGGCGGCTAAGGCAGCAAGGAAGTTAACGCACGAGTTTACGAGGTAACGAACGAAGAAGATGCGGAGGCCAGATAGGAAGAACAAGAACCAACTTGACCACGGCGAACTTGTTTATACGCATAGTGTCGTGGGCTTTTAGATGGGCCACTCGAGTGGCTGCCGTAAGAGACACATGTTTTCTGCAACTCTCTGCAAGTGGAGTTCCGTGGGATCGCCGTTGGATTGCCACGGATGGCGTAGATGCAACAACTGTAGAGAGCCATCGTCGAGCCCGACTGCAAGAGGATCTCGTTCCTAAAACTTCAGCTATAATTTGATGGCCGGAAAAGAAGTCTTAAACTTAAGATGTTTGACACGAATTTACAGTATTAAATATAGACTAATTACAAAACTAATTATATTTTTAGAGAATAATTTGCGAGAGAATCTATTAAATCTAATTAATCCATGATTTTGACAATGTGGTGCTACAGTAAACATATGCTAATGATGAATTAATTAGGCTTAATAGATTCGTCTCATAAATTATTCTCCATCTATGTAATTAGTTTTATAATCAGCTCATGTTTAGTTCTCCTAATGAGTATCAAATATTCGATGTGACAGGTACTACGACCTTATTTAGTTCCTCCCTAAAGTTTACTCCCTATCCAATTGAATATTTGGACATATATATGGAGTATTAAATATAGACTAAAAAATAACTAATTGTACAGTTTACGACTAATTTGCGAGACGAATCTTTTAAGCCTAATTAGTCCATCTTTAATAATGTGGTGTTACAGTAACACATGCGTTAATGACGGATTAATTAGGCTTAATAAATTTGTCTCATAAATTATTTATGGATTCTATAATTTATTTTTTTATTAGTATTCGAACATCTACCCACGCGATATGACAGCTGCAATTAAAAAGTCCACTTTAATACCTCCATCCAAAAACTGATTGGGACTGGCTGGTGGGCCGCAGATAAATCTTGTTCCGACATTTGGCCTGGCAGGAACTGAAACCCTACAAGCCCAGTGCCCGAGTGGCGGAGTGGGACATCCTCGCGCCGCGGCGTTGGCCACCACGGCACCATCCACTACGTCACCACCTCCTGACCAATCCCACGCCTGACGCCTCCTCAACCAAAACCCTCCCCGTTCTCCGGTCCGGCGCCGCGGCCCGCAGCGATGGCCTCCACGGGGTGCCGCGGCATCATGGAAGAGATCTTCGCCTGCATCCCCACGCAGCCCATCCCCTCGCCTGCCGAAGGCTCCGTTTCCGCCGCCGCCTGCTCCGTCGTCCGTGAAGCCGAGGCCGACGAGGACCGGATCAGCCGCCTGTCGGACGCGCTGCTCTCCAACATCGTCTCCCGCCTCCCCATCAAGGACGCCGCCCGCACGGCCGCGCTCTCCCCGCGCTGGCGCCGCGTCTGGGCCTCCACGCCGCTCGTCCTCGACGACGCCCACCTCCTCCCGTACCCGGACCAACCCGACGGCCCCTTGGGCTTCGGCACCGACTGGCGCTCCATCGCCGACGCCGTCTCCAGCGTCCTCGCCGCGCACCCGGGCCCCTTCCGCTGCGTCCGCCTCACCAACGTCTGCAGCTACGCGGCGGCGCGCGACCGCGGCGCGCTCGCGCGCGACTGGCTCCGCGTCCTCGCGGACAAGGGCGTCGACGACCTCGTTCTCGTCTGCCCTCGCTGGCCCCTCAAGGCGAAAATCCCCGCCGACATCCTCCGCGTCACCTCCCTCCGCAGCCTCTACCTCGGCCTCTGGGACGAGTTCCCTGGGAGCACCAAGTCCCTCCGCCGCGGTAACGTTGCCTTCCCCCACCTCGTCGAGCTCGGGCTCTGCCGCACCGACATCAAGACCGCGGACATCGACCACCTCCTCCAGTGTAGCCCCCTCTTGGAGAAGCTCGCGCTTGTTGCCTGCGACAACTCGCCGGACTGCGTTCGCGTCCGCAGCCGGAGCCTCCGTTGCGTGCTCTTCTGGATGTCCGTCGCAAACGAGGTCAATGTGCTCGTCGTCCCGCGCCTCGAGCGGCTCATCCTGTGGAGTGAGTGCCCCGGTGCCCGTCTCGCTGATGACTTCCGCACCAGGCTCAACATTGGCTACGTCCAGGAGCTCAAGGTCCTCGGCTACCTGGACCTAAGGATCCACGTGCTCGAGATCTCCAACACTATCATCGAGGTGAGCTCAATTTCGTCAAATTGATGTACTCAGCCAATGCTGCATACATATATGGATTCCACCATAAGCTTCATATGTGGAACAATCATTAGCATTACATTCGAGTAATTGTGAATTCCAAACTTTTCAGTAGGCTGGGACAAAGCCGAGCACACGTACCATTGTTCCAAGTGTCAATATCCTGGCTTTGAAGGTCCGGTTTGGAGTTCGCAAGGAAGCTAGAATGCTGCCAAGCTACCTCAGATGCTTCCCCAATGTGGTGACATTACATATCATGGTGAGACTCCATTCCCACTTGTCTTCATTTAGCATCTGAGCCATCTTCAGTGTATGATGCTTAACTGGAATCACGGATAATTGAACTAGCAGCATTTTGACTCTGCAGTCTGATGAAGCTGATGAGCCCACGGGCAAGCTCAACTTCAAGTTCTGGCAGGAAGCTGGCCCCATCAGCTGCCTTCAGTCCCAAATCAAGAGGGTGGTGTTCAAGAACTTCCGAGGGGACCGCAGTGAGCTCGCATTCCTTTGGTTCATCTGGGAGAGAGCACAGCTGCTGCACAAGATGGTGATTGTTTTGGCCGATGGAGATGATCCTGCTTCGTTGGAGCAGATGGTAGCCAAACTGAAACCTCTGGTTTGTGCAAAACGGGCCAGCAAAGACCGCAAGTTGACCATCTTGGTGCGTAATGGAGGCTGCGTGTGGAGCTTCCACAGAGCATTTGATCTTTCCGTGAGCGACCCTTTTGATTGCTGAAGTTCTAGGTGTTTGCTGTTATGTTTCTCTGATCGCAAAGCCATTTTGCTGAACCGGCAACTTTCCCATTTCACTCTCTATCAGTTGCAGGACATATTTGGATTGCTGGCTTATTTGTTGTCTAGATTGCTTATTGTCATCTCAAAAAAAAAACATTATAGTAGCTTTGAACATGAGACAGGCTAGTTAGCCCATGCTGCTTAAGGTTTCAAATTAGCTACAGTTTATTTCTTTGTGATGCAATGCTGTTTCATTTCATCAAATGCCTTCTTGGTTGTTGGTCGACATGAACTAGTTCCATTGTTGTTACTTGTTATAGATTGTCAGGTTTGAACGCAAATGCTCACAAACTGGTGAAACCTGTTTAATTGAGTACTTTTCCGTTGTGCCCACAGTGCTGTGTACATGTTTATCTCGTTGATCAGTTGATGCCATGGTGATTTCCTGCACAATTTTCTTTAGCTCTTTTGATGCCATAAAACGGTTCCTGGTCATTCACGTATTCACTCATTCAAGGAGGGTATGTGTGTGTGTGTGGGTGTTCGCTGATGAGGTCAGCTGCTCAGAGCTCAGAGGCACATAGATACTTTGTTCCTGCTGGCTACAGTCACGGTGCCTGTTGTTTACTTGGGTCGTGAAGCGATCAATCAGGGACGAGATGAATCATGTAATTTTGGAATGCTTCGGTTTTGAAATGTGGCCGTGGACTGGTAGTATAATGTCGCTGGTTTTAGTGGCAGCCCCTGTGTCCATATCAATCTGAACTTCTCAAGTAATCCAGGGATGATCGGTTTGTTGTTTAGTTGTCATATGGAATTGCAGCCGCTGCAGCAACAACCAACAAGCTGTCCCGAAGACCCGAACGCTGCCACTGCTCTAATTTGCACCGGACTAGCAGTGCTCATCAGCCCCGGCCTCTCTTTGTAGTACTAATCAGCGTCCCTGAACCCTGATTTTCCGTATAACTGACCGGTGGGCCTGGGTGCGAGGGGAAGTGAGGAACCGAACGCCGGCGTTCCTCATTTTTTGATTTCGCCCAGAAAACCCCAGCCGAACTCAGCGCCGCCCACACCAGCACAGCACGCGAGCTCACCAGAAAACCCTCCCTCTTCTTCCACGGGCGCGGGCTAGGAGCGTCGCCGTCGCCTCGCAGCTATGGCTATGGCACCGGAGGCCGTCGTGGAGATGGAGGACATCATACGCGTCGTCCTCCCCTGCCTCCCCGCCCCGCCCTTCCGCACCACTGGTGCCTCCCGTCGCTCCCACAGCCCCCGCGGCGGCGGCGGCGAGGACCGCATCAGCCGCCTCCCAGACGCGGTGCTCTCCAACATCGTGGCGCGCCTCCCCGCCAAGGATGCAGCGCGCACCACCGCGCTCTCCAGGCGCTGGCGCCGCGTCTGGGCCTCCACGCCGCTCGTCCTCGACGACTCCGACCTCCTCGTCTTCCGCGACGGCGGCGGCGGCCGCTCCGCGGCCGTCAACTGGCCAGCCGTCACCGACGCCGTCTCCCGCGTCATCGGCGGGCACAGGGGCCCCATCCGCTTCGTGCGCCTCACCTGCTGCTTCATGGAGCTGGCCGCGCGCCACGGCATTCTCCAGTACTGGCTCCGGGTCCTCGCCGCGGGGGGAGTCGAGGACCTCGTCCTCGTCAACCGCCCCTTCCCCCGCTCCCTGCGCCTCCCCGTCGACGTCCTCCACATCGCCTCCCTCCGCACCGCACCCTCTACCTCGGCTTCTGGCGATTCCCGGACACCGGCGTGTTAGTTGATCTCCAATAATAGGCCCGGGTTCTTGCCTCTGCTCCTGATCGGGGGAGCTTAACCCTAACTAATTGGTGGGTTCCTGTCGCACAGCACATAAATAGAGGAGTGGGGACTGGGCTCAAGAAACGAGGTTCGCTGGAGCCGTCACACCCACCAAAGAAAATCCTAATCCGATCTAAAGACGTGCTGCCAGCGACGAGATGAGCCCGCAACCACCGTCGTCGACTCACTGCAGGGTCACCACCGTCCCCTCTGGATCTCCACGGCATCGCTACCTCGCCGTCTCGCCACCGACCCGGAGTTGCCCCTACACCGGCGTCCAAGCTGCTGCGGCGTCATGGACAGAGCGGTGAATCCTCGCAAAGTGTGAGAAGGCTCACACCGGATCTACGGATTACACAGAGGTACACACATTCGATCATAACAATGGTACCAGAGCAGGTTGTCTCTGTGTAACCCTAACCCTAACCGGGTAAAAGAAAAGGAAAAGGGACCGGGGGTGGCGGAGGTCACTGGAACCCCGGTCACCACCGCCACCGCGCGGGAAAAGTGCCGCACTGACACGGCAAGAAAGAACAGATCCGTGTTCGGATCAGAGAAGAAGTAAAGGAAGGAGAAAAGAGGGATTCGGTATAAATAAGAAAAGAAAAGAAATCAATTGAAAACCCGAACCCTAACCCTAGATCTCGATTTTGGATGAACAATGAAACGGAAAGAGAGAAGATCAATCCAAATCGAAAAGAACAAGGGGAAGAAGGGAAGGGCTGTCGCCTCGTCGGCGTATGAAGATGAACAGTGAAACCCCATCCCGAACCCTAACCCTAAATCATGATCCCATCCCTAAATCGGGTTAATCCCAGAAGGAAGAAAGGGAAAGAGAAAGAGCCGATTTGGCTTACCTCGCCGTCAAAGAACCAACGGCGCGCGGGGAAAAGAAGGCCGAACTCTCCGGTGTCCGCTCATTGGACTCGAGCCACACGGGTGTGCCATGGTCGGGCCGCTCGACGGGCGGCGCGCTCACCCATGGGAGCGCAGACGCCTGGCGAGGGGGGTCAGGCCGGCGCCGGGCTGCTCTCTCTCTTCCATTTTCGCCCGCTCGCCGCCGGTTGCGGTTGCGGGCAAGGCCGAGAGAGAAGAGAGCGGCGTAGACAGAGAGAGAAAGGAAAGAACCGAATGAACGCTAGGGTTTTGCTAACCGCGGCCGGAGGAGGTTTTTATTCGGCCGAGATGAACGGATGGCCGTCGGATGAGATCTGACGGCGATGGAAGCACGGGCGGCTTTTCAAATTTCAAAGTGGCACCTGAGCAAAGCAAGCCGCTTTGCGGCCCAGAGCCAAAGTTATGTTTAGGTCACAAGACGCGCAGCGAAAGTGAAAGGCAATGGTGGGCCGGGCCACTGTGGCAGTTCCAGCTCAATCAAAGAACAGTGAGAAAGAATCAATCAGTTTTTTGTTTTTTCATTTTCCAGTAAAGTTTTTATTTCCTGGAAAATAGATAAAAGGCTTAAAGAAAATATGAAAAGGTATTTTAAACTGGAGAAAAGAAAAGTTTTTACAGTAAATGTTCATTTCCTGGAAAAGGATTAAAGGAAATAGAAAATACAATTTTCCCTGTGGGTAAAATTCAAGAAAAGGAGAAGTTTTTTCATAGCTAGAGAAATGATTTATTCTCCAGTTAATTTGTATCAATGTGGTATTTAATTGGAGAAAAGGAAAATTTTTCCGCTGCTAAAGAAAATATTGATTCTCCAATTAATTTGAACCAATGTGCTATTTAATTGGAGAAAAAGAGTTTTGACATGATTATGATGTTGTTATTTTTCTGACCAACGTTGTTAATAACAATATCGTAATGCTAATGATTTATGCATTAATTCTACTTCTACCCAACGGTGATGTAGAATTAGTGTATAAGAAAAGTTGATAATTTTAATGATTTATGCATTAATTCTACTTCTGCCCAACGGTGATGTAGAATTAGTGTATAAGAACATATGTTAATTTTAATGATTTATGCATTAATTCTATTTCTGCCCAACGGTGATGTAGAATTAGTGTGTAAGAACAGTTATGAAAGTTAAAGATTTATGCATTAATTCTATTTCTGCCCAACGGTGATGTAGAATTAGTGTATAAGAATAGTTGTATGTTTTGATTTTAACCAACGTTGGAATCAAAGCATGCAAATGGTGTTAATTTTATGTTAAGAAAAGATTTGACCTGGTTTTCATCTTGTTTGAGGTGGACTGGGTAGTCACCTCACCGTGTTCCACTGAGTTTGTGGCACCGGTGAGGGAGACAAAAGAGAATGATGCCACTTGGGCAACTAAAGAAAGGGATTTTGAATCCCAAAAGATATCCTATGACTTTTGAGCATAGGAAGTGGGTCACTGCAAACAAGAAATATTTAGCTGTGATAAAGAACATGATTGAACCTACAATTGTGGGCTTAATTCCAGAATGTGACACGGTCACCGAGTACCTCGATAGAATAAAGAGCAGTTCACTGACTCTTCAAAGACATATGCCACTTAGCTGATAAAGCTGGTCACAGAGTGTTACTCTGGAAATGATGGCATAAGAGAGCTCACGATGCGTTGTCGAAATTATGGCACTGTCGTTTAGGCCATATTTCGAGGGGGAGAATAGAAAGACAAGTTAAGAATGATATTCTTCCTCCATTAGAGCTCTCAGATTAAATTCAATGCAGAGAATGCATAAAAGAAAAGTATATAAAGAAAGATGACAAACGAAGCACAGGAATTTTTTACAGATTATTCACACTGACATCTGTGGTCAGCTTTTCTGTAAAGAGTGTGGATGGTTATGATTCGTTCATAACATTCACAGATGATTACTCCCATTATGGCTATATTTATCCAATCAAAGAAAGAAAAGATGTATTGGATAAATTTAAGATATTAAAGATTAAGATAGTCAGGTCTGACCGTGGAGGAGTACTACGGTCAGCATACCCTAAAAGAATGGCATAGTAGCCCAGTATTCTACACCGGGCGAACCTCAGCGGAATAGAGTAGCTAAAAGAATCAATCGTACCCTGATGGATATGGTGGGCAGTATGATAAGGCACTCCACCCTATAGTTGAGCCTATGAATGGAGGTGTTAAAACCGCCATTCATATTCTCAATAGAGTATTAAGAAAGTCGGTGCCCAAAACACCGTATAAGTTGTGGACAGAAAGAGTACCCTCGCTAATCCACTTCCGTGAATGTGGGGGAGCCCTGCTGAGGCTAAAGTGTTTAACCCAAACATTGAGAAGTTATATCCCAAAACAGTAAGTTGCCATTTGTTTGGCTACCCAGAAAAGTCAAAAGGCTTTCGTTTTCTACTGTCCAGAAAGACATACAAAGTTTGTAGAAACGAGACACATTGTCTTCCTAGAGGATGAATTGATGAGGGGGAGCATGGTAGCTCGAGAAATTGACCTTGAAGTGAAGCGGGTGTTTGCGCCCACTCTAATGATTCATGGGCCATTTTTCTCACTACCTGTTGTCGCTGCACCGACAGTACTAAATACTGTGGTGCCAGCACCTGTTGTTATCCCACCTGTGGCAACAATGAATGAAAATGAGGAACCTGTTATTCAGGATCCAATAGAACCAATTGCCACACACGAGGGGGAGCAACAACAGCCTCAAACAGAAGATGTGCTAAATGTGGAGGCCCCTAAAAGGTCTCAAAGAGTTAGAAAATCAGCTATTTCTGCTGATTATGAAGTGTACAACACTAAAGAATTTCAAATGAAGGATGATCCCACCTCATTTGAATAAGCCATGAAAAGTAATCATTCATCAAAGTGGCTTGAGGCCATGGAAGATGAAATGAAATCAATAAATGCCAATATAGTTTGGGACTTGGAAATAAATCCTAAAGGAGCCAAAACAGTAGACTGTAAATGGGTCTACAAAACAAAACTTGACTCTCAAGGGAATATAGAGAGATATAAAGGGTGACTTGTGTCAAAAGGCTTTATACAAAGAGAAGGGATTGATTACAATAAGACCTTTTCTTCAGTCTCATGTAAAGTTACCTTCAGAATCTTAATGGCATTAGTGACACATTACGATTAAGAATTACATCATATGGATGTAAAGACAGCATTTCTCAACAGAGACTTGGAGGAAAATGTTAACATGGCACAACCGAAAGGTTTTGTCATGGAAGGAAAAGAACGAATGGGATGCCGCCTAAAGAAATCCATTCATGGATTAAAACAAGCTTCAAGACAGTGGTACTTGAAGTTTGATCAGACAATAAAGAATTTTGGGTTTAAAGAGAATGTAGGGGACAATTGTGTCTATACAAAGTAAAGAGAATGTAGATGACAATTGTGTCTATACAAAGTAAAGAGAATGTAGATGACAATTGTGTCAATACAAAGTTTAATAATGGGAAGTTTATCTCCCTTGTCCTGTATGTAGATGATATCTTACTTGCTAGTAGTGATGTCAGTCTACTACTGGAGACAAAGAAATTTGATATGAAAGATCTTAGCGAAGCCTCGTTCGTTCTAGGGATCGAGATTCACCGAGATAGAAGAAAAGGGTATAATGACTGTCACAAAAGGCATACATGAAAAAGATCTTAAAGAAATTTAGTATGCACAAATGTAGTCCCTCACCTGCTCCTATAGTCAAGGGCAACAGATATGGGGATTTTCAATGCCCCAGGAACCAATATGAGCTCAATTGATAAAGTGAAAGTGGTCCCATATGCTTCAGCTGTCGGAAGCTTGCAACATGCTCAAGTATGTACACGCCCTAACTTGGCATTTGTTACCGGGTTTTACTTGGCAGATTCCAGAGCAATTCTGGAATAGAACACTGAAATTAGTAAAGAAAGTCTTGCATTATTTGCAAGGAACGAAAGGCCTCATGATGACATATAGAAGATCTGATTCACGCCACATGGTGGGATATTCAGATTCTGATTATGCGAGAGTGAATGCATATCCAGACGTGGATTTTCTATCATCTCGCAAAGGGGAGCTATTTCATGGAAAAGCTCAAAGCAAACTGTCACTACATCGTCCACAATGTATGACAGTTCATAGCGTGTTATGAGGCAACGGGCAGGTGAACTAACTAACGAAGTTCATACCCGGTTTGAAGGTGGTTGACGACATCTATAGACCATTAAAGTTATACTGCGATTATAATCTGGCAGTAAAGGATGCTCACAACATAAGTCAAGTGGTGCTGCCAAACACATTGACATAGAGTATTATGTTATGAAAGATAAAGTCCGGGATCAAGTCATAAGTCTTGAGCATATAAGAACAGAAATAATGCTCGTGGATCCGCTTACAAAAGGCTTACCACCCAACATGTTCAGAGGACATGGTGTTCAGAGAACATGTAGCTAGCTTGGGTTTAAGGGAAAGCCTAAAATATTCCTGGACAAAAGAAGGCCCAAAGATAAGTATCTATTTCAGAACATAGTAGTGAGTTGTAGCTGTTAAGTCTATCGGCAATGGACCGTGACGATGAGACATGCTCTATGAGCTAATCTATAATGGAATGAACAAAAGTAAATGATATGAAAGTGAAAGATGGAATGAGATCAAGGGAGAGAATATTAGTTGATCTCCACCAATAGGCCCAACGGCCTATTGGGCCCTTGCCTCTGCTCCCTAATCGGGGGAGCCCAACCCTAACTGGTTGGTGGGCCCCTGTCGCACAGCACATAAATAGAGGAGTGGGGACTGGGCTTAAGAAACGAGGTTCGACGGAGCCGCCACACCCACCAAAGAAAACCCTAATCCGATCTAAAGACGTGCTGCCAGCGACGGGATGAGCCCGCCACCACCGCCGTCGACTCACTGCAGGGTCATCACTGTCCCCTCTGGATCTCCACGGCATCGCTACCTCGCCGTCTCGCCACCGACCCGGAGTTGCCCCTACACCGGCGTCCAAGCTGCTGCGGCGTCATGGACAGAGCGGTGAATCCTCGCAAAGTGTGAGAAGGCTCACACCGGATCTACGGGTTACACAGAGGTACACACATTCGATCCTAACACGCCGCCCTCCCGCGAGGCCGCGCCGCCGTGTTCCCCCGCCTCCAGGAGATTGGACTCTACGCTACCATCATCCGGGCCGGGACATCGACCACCTACGCCGCAGCCCCAGCCCGTGCTCGAGAAGTTCACCATCATCGCCGACCTCTACCACACCGCTTTGTCCGGATCCACACCTGCAGACTCTCAAAGGCCTTGTCTTTCGGAAGTCCCCGGCGGATGAGCTCGACGTGGTTTTTGCCCCGCGCCTCAGCGCTTAATCCTGTGGCGGTGTGCCAATGCATGATCATCGGCTCCGTCACCTTCCGCACTGTGGTCGGGATTGGCCACGCCATCGAGCTCAAGGTGCTCGGCTACACCGAGCCAAGCATCCACCACTCAGATTGGCAGCACCATAATTGAGGTATCTCTTTCTCCTTTGTTTCCTCCTACATTGCATAATTCATAATTGCATAAGCATAGCTCTATCTATATCTATATGTGCCATCGATCCAAATGTTACCTTCAATTTTAATCCATGGCAGTAATGGTTCTCAATTGTGCTGTAGGGTGCATGGTTTTTGAGGCGTTGTGGCGAGGCGCGGCGCCCTACCCCTTCACAACGCCTAGGCGTTTGTGGCGGACGCCTAGGCGACGTCATACGCACAATTTAGGAGCCATGAAGACGTTGTGTAAGCTAGAATTTTAGATACTAGTGCAGCACATACAACTTTGTTCCCAATTCTTGAGCCCAGCACAATACTGTATGGCTAAGAGAGCACTACTAATCAAGAATTATCATACTAATCAAAGGAAGAACCTTCTAAGTGTAAAGATTAAAGAAAGAACCAAGCAGATATTATACTAATCAAAGAAAGATCCTTGTGCTTCGTGTGTTGTTTATAAAGGTCTAAGAAAATAACAACCCAAGAAAGAAAGGGCATTAGTCTCCTCCGTATGTGAGTATGTAACAGCCAATATTAATATAAAAAGCAGCAATATTCAGAGAGTGAGTACATGGACCGTAAGCAGAGGAGGCAAAGACGGGGCTAGGAGATTCAGGGGACCGAAGCGGAGGAGGTGGTGGGGGCTAGGATTTAGGGACCAAAATAGAGGCGACAAAAACACACTTACTAGGCGAGACGGGCAGTGCAGGCGGCGCGGCGGAGACTCAAGCCAGGCAAAGTGCGGACGGGTGACTATGACACGTCTGCGGACGGCCGACGGTAACAAGGACTCGAGCAAGCGGACTTCATCCCAGACGTGTGCGGAGATGCAGAGCAGAGCTTAACGCTGCCAAGATGCGGAGATGCAGGGCGGCTCATGGCATGACCGCCGGTGGACTCGAAAAGAGGAGGAGCAGCCTAAGCGGAGCTCGATGTCCGCCACCCCTTCTCTCTTCCTCTCCCTCGCCTGCAGTCGCGGTAAAAGCCTCGAGCGGGAGATTTCGCGCGCGAAGAGCGGTATATGCCGGGTCAATTCCTGCCCTTTTGCTTTTGGCACGGACGCACGTTCGATTCCCGTGGGGCCATGGTGATTTTGGCGCTTTTCCCCCGCGAGTTCGCATCTGGCGTCTGCAACAAGGCTCTAGGCGTCAGGCGGATGCCATTCCTCGCCTAGTCGATGCCTAATCGAGTGAGGCGGATGCCATACCGTCGGCAGTCATGGCGACCCCGACGCCCAACGCCCATAGCACGCCTTGTCGCCTAGGCGACGACTAGGCGACGCCTCAAAAACAATGGTAGAGTGGAACAAAGATGATCCCATCTAGCATGGTTCAAGTGTCAAGATCTTGGCCTTGAAGGTACAATTCAGAATCCGCAAGGAAGCTAAGATGCTACCCACTTTCCTGAGATGCTTTCCCAATGTGGAGACATTGCATGTTCTGGTGAGATCCCATTCACCCCATATCGTTATAGCTTATTAATTTCAATCTCTCTTTCGAAACCCTCGAGCATTATCACCATTGTTAGTGGAGTCACATATACACACACGGTGATTTTTGCAGTCTCATGAAGCTTAGGAGCCAGATGGCAAGCTCAATTCGAAGTTCTGGGAAGAGGTTGGCTCCATCGACTGCCTAGAGACACACATCACCAAGGTGGTGTTTGACAAATTCAGAGGAGAGCGCTGCCAGCTCGCGTTCCTCAAGTTCATCCTAGAGAGGGCACAATCGCTGCTGAAGCTTGTGATTGTATTGGCCAATGGAGATCAAGCCTCAGTGGATGAGATGCTCACCAAGTTGAAGTCTCTGACCATGGCGAAACGAGCCAGCGAATGCCCTACTCTGTTGGCAGTCGTCCGTGAGGGAGACAGCGCCTGACAGCGGCGGATCCAGGAAATATTGTAGGGGGCTGAACAACACTGCTGCTCGATCTTAAGTCTCAGCCCCCCCTACACTATAGAACTTTGCCTAAAAATTTATAAGGGCTCTACAGTAATTTGCACTGCTTCGGTATGGGTGGCCCCCCCCCCCTGCTGGATCCGCCCATGGCGCCTGGTACTTTCAGAGAGCATCCGATCTTTCTGTTAGTGACCCCTTTGATTGGTGAGGCCCAAGTACATGACCGATCTATTATTCTCCTGAGCTGGTCAGTTGTTTTTTTGTCATTCAGTGTATACTTGCTAGACATTCCCCAGAATGTTGTCTCGCGTTGTCTTGATAGTATCAGCTTGATAAGTGTGAGTACAGTTCTGAGTGAATCAGGAGAGGTATATAACTCATGCAAAATGCTGCTTGACATTTCACTATTGAAAATATAGATTCTGCTTAGCTGCTCTTGAGTTGACTACCTCCTAATGTTGTCACTGGCTAGTTTCTCAGTGGAAATGTACTGTATCCTGGGCATAATTGGAACTGGAAAACGTCATATTGGCAACCACAGATTCTGTGTATTGTTGATATGATTGTGGTTCTCTGTAATGTCTTGAGCCTGCCGTTTGATTCTACTCGACTAGTTTCCATTGCTCGTATTGAAGATTGTAGCTGCGCACAGTGAAGATATGTATGTGCTCGGTGAGAAATCAGGAAGTCACAAAGTTTTTATTTTAAGATACGGTACACCGCCGGCGTTTATTATTAATAAGGGAGTTACATGTGCAGGGCGCCAAAAAAAAAGAGTAAACGTTCGCCCTATTTTTCAGTATTACTTTAGCAGTACTTTTCAGCGAAGGAACAGTGTTTTTCCTCTCACAATAAATCAGCATCAGCAGCAACCAAATTTCAGCGAAACGAACAAGGACGTTAATTTCTTGAGAATCAATCTTTATGCTGCTTGGTCGGATTTGGATTTTAGGCTGAAATGGTCACGGGGATGGACCGAGAAACCCTATACTACCGGAAACAGTAGGTTTGCCGAGTGCCCAGGACACTCGGCAAAAGCCTAAAAACACTCGACAAAGAATTTGCCGAGTGTTACACTCGGCAAACGGCACTCAACAAAGCTGTCTTTGTCAAGTGTTTTTTTGTCGAGCACTCGGCAATTGCCGAGTGCTAAAACCGACAATCGGCAAAGACTTTTCGAAAAATATAAAAAAACCACCATTGCAAGCCCGCGGCTCCCCCACCGCCACCGCCACCACCACGCCCATTTCCCATTTCCCGAAACTGTGCCGCAACCACGCACCGCGCCGCCCTCATCGCGGAACGCCGGGAGGAGGTCCGGGAACGCCGTGAGGTTGCGGAGCACCCCGGCCGCCGCGGCCTGCGCCGCCGGGGTGAAGCCGGCGCAGGCGGACAGAGCGCCGCCACCCTGCCGCGCTCGCGTGCTCCGCGTCGGACCCGGACTCGAGCGCGTGGCATAGGTGCGGCACCACGGCGTCGGCCTCCTGCGCCAGGGAAGGCCGCACGACGTCGGAGGATGCCAGGGCAGCCAGCGTGGCCACGGCACGCTCGCGGAGGTCCCCGCCGCAGCCAGCGGCGGAGTCGAGCAGCGCCGCCACCGTGGAAACGGCCATGGCTGCGGAGGGCACCGGCAGCGCAGGCGAGGTGCTTGCCAGCTCCTCCAGCGCGGCGGCGCGGGAGGCCGCGGAGCCCACAGAGTCGGGAGACGAGGGCGGAACCAAAGCCGGCGGAGGAGGGGGCCGGCACGGGCGCGGCGAGGAGGTGTGCGTCGGCGGTGAGCTGGGAGAGCGAGGCGGTGGTGGAGGAGAGCAGCTAGACGGTGTGGAGGTGGCCGAGCCTGGGTGCGTTGACGTCCCCAGCGGCGAACACGAACAACGCGTGCGGATGCGGCACTGGGGCCACCACCGCCGGCCCGGCCGGCCACCACCACCGGCGAGCACTGGGGCGCAGTGCGGGCCTGCCTAAGCCAACCCAGGAGGCCGACGCCTCCTCTCCTTTCCCTATATGCGTGTTCTCTGGAAGAGATAAGGGAGAGAGAGAAAGGGAGGGGAGGGGGCGGCGCCAAGAGAGGGCCGGGAGACTTTATAACGCCGAGTTTACCGAGTGTCGGATCGAGGACACTCTGTAAAGCTGTCTTTGTCAAGTGTCTAGGGTTTTGGGCACTCGGCAAATATATTAGTTATTTTTTCATTTCCTTGTTTTCCATAACGTGTTTTTCTTTTTTGTTCGATGTACTTTGAAAATACCTAGCCAAATTGACTCAACAATATATATATGATTTTTATACGAATATGATTCCATTATTTTATGCGGTTACAGCTCAAATTTAATTTATATCAATTAAAATTCTATAATTGTACTTAATAAATTAAAATTATCAAACGGATCCAAAAAATTACCAAAATTTTCTCATGAAACAATCTATGTTCCCTATTGCCTCTACAAAAAAGTTTTGAAGTCAAACCCCAATTCGACCGTCACTTTGACTCTAAATCTTACCGATTGCTTCTCAACGCTACGATTCTTCTCCTGAGATGTTTCGGTTTGTAAACATCGTACTTGACTAATTGTGCAAAACCTTCTCCATTTTTTACCACAGCCTCCACGTATGATATCATCACATCATGAAAAATCTCATGATTTTTAGACTTCGTTTGCTTTTTTTAGAATTTAAAAAGCATTCGGCCACACGTTCGTGGTCGTGTTTCCTGAACAAGATGTTCAATTTTTTTTTTCATTTTTGGGTAAGGCCTCACACTGGACTCAATAACATGAATATTATTTTTTTACTCATTTTATTCTATTATTTGAATGCAGTTCAAATTTGACTTATACCAAAAAATTCCTTAAAATGCAATAAATTAATTAAATATAGCAAACAGATCCACAAATATACCAAATTTTAATATGGAATACCACATGTTGTATGTGGAGAGTAAAAAAGTTTCAAGGTTAGAAAAGAAAATAAAATAAAATTATTTGTCGAGTGCTAAATAGTTACACTCGGCAAACATATTTCTTTGCCGAGTGCCTAGTTTTGCTTAGTGTTTTTTTTTAGTTTGCCGAGTGTCGAACTTTGTCGAGTGTTTTTTTTTGCATCGTTTGCCGAGTGCAATTATTTTGCCGAGTATTTTTTTCGCAGCACTCGACAAAGGGATTGTTTGCCGAGTGTCCGAGGAAATGCACTCGGCAAACATAAAAGCACTCGGCAAAGAGCCGGTTTCCGGTAGTGATATCACTGGAACACCCTAGGTGGATCCTTTCATTCTTTGGTACCACATTCTGCCAAGTTTGAATCGTAGAAGTGGCTATAATTTTCCACTACCACATATTCTGCCAAGTTTGAATCGTAGAAATGGCTTCGTTGGCATCTGCTTCGACAGAGCTCAGGGTAAAAATTTCACAACAGCACAGCGTCACAAACTGACAAACATAATGTCAATCTGTTGTACGATTGGGCATCACAAGGGAGTCAACATGAAGTAAGCAAGATCCCCATTAGAAGCAAATCTAGTTATCGGTTTGGTACAAAAGTTTTTTGCAAAGCTAAGCAAGATTTCACAATCTATGCAGATTACAACTAACATGGCTCGGTCTTAATTGATGAGTAAAATGTATATACAGTCCTGACTTGTCCCTCTGGTGATATCTAGGGCCATATACTCATAAAATCTTCGTCTGGGTCCCTAAACTTGCATTGCTAAGCATATCATTTTGGATCTAAGGCATCTCCAAGAGACTCTCCATATCCTTACTAAATGCTAGGAATAGAAATTTTGGTGAAAAACCATCCTCCAACAGCTTTTCTAAATGATCATCTAATATAGCTATTTTCTATTCCGGATTTTTCGCTAGCCAAATATAGAAAATGAGAATGGCTCTCTAGAGTGCGCATGAGATATAGAGAAATTGTTGGAGAGTGAAAAGATATACAAAACGATTTTTATGCAAATGATTGTCCAAATGATGATTTTGAGAGTGAGATTTATAAAGCCTCTTGGAGATGCTCTTATTCAGCAAGTGATTATATGCATGGTTTATGAGGCGTCGCCTAGGCGACAAGGCGTGGTAGAGGTGCTGGGCGTCGGGGTTGCCATGACGTCCGTGGGTATGGCGTCCGCCTCATAGGATTAGGCGTCGCCTAGGCGCAAATGGCGTCGGGCGGACGCCTAGGCGCGAATGGCGTCGGGCGGGAAATCGAAAGGCGCCACGCTGAAGACCATGGTGGGATATATATGCTCTTGTGCGGAAATTTCCGCTTGGTGGCATTTACTGCGGGTAAGGGCAGCTTCACGGGGGAGAGAGGGAGAGGAAAAGAGAAGGCCGAGGGCGGGAACTCTTGGCGGCGGCGGCGCTACATCTCCGCTTGTTGCTCGTCTGCTCGAGTCCAGCGGCTGCCCACATCTCCCACGAGGCTGCCCCTGCATCTCCGCCTGGCTGCGCAAGTCCAGTAGCAGTCCGCACCTGCTCGCCTGTCTCCGTCGACCGGCCGGACCTGCACTCGTCGGTCATCTGCAGCTGCTCGCCCGCCTCCGTCGACCGTCTGCCGTCAGCCTACGCCTGGACGCTCCCTGCCTCCTCTCTGCTTTGAGTCACCGTCGCCATCCGCAGGTCCATCCACACCTCACCTGTCTGTCCGCTTCGAGTCGCCGTCCGCAGGTCCATCCGCATCGCACTTGTCCGTCCGTCTCGTGTCTATGCCTCCGCCTGGTATGTCCCCTGCCTCCTCTCTGTCTTTGGTCTCCCTTAGGCCAACTCCTAGGCGTGTACTCTTGTAGTGTTATCTGTTCTTCGTGCTCTGCTTTTGCTCTGAATATAGTATGCCTCGTGTTCTGCTGCTCTGCTTTTGATCTGAATATTATATGCCTCATGCTTTGCTATTGATCTAAAATTTGTATGCTGATGCTGCATGCCTGTCCCTGCCTCCTCCCTTGCTCTAAATATTTATTCTGCACTCTGCTCTGCTTTTGCTCATGGTG